TCAGTCCGTCTCTTTGGTCAGCACCTGGAGAAACCATGCTTTCAATGTCTACAATTGCCTAAAAAAAATACCAAAGCAGAAATGCCTAAAATTGACCTTTCTTTTGGTTTTACATCATCCTCTTTTTGAGCTGAGGAGTGAGGTGAGCTGCTGGCTCTGGGAATACCTCAGGTGCCATGAGAGAAGGCTCCACGGAGAGAACCCTCTGCTCTCAGTCTAACACACATCTGACCTCACAGAACTACTGCAAATAACAGCAATCCAAAATTCACAGAATCACAGAATCATAGAATCATAGGTTTGGGTTGGAAGGGACCTGAAAGATCATCCAGTTCCACCCCTGCCATGGGCAGGGACACCTTCCACTAGCCCAGGTTGCTCCAAGCCCCGTCCAACCTGGCCTTGGACACTTCCAGGGATCCAGGGGCAGCCACAGCTTCTCTGGGCAACCTGTGCCAGGGCCTCCCCACCCTCACAGGGAACGATTTCTTCCCAATATCCCATCTAACCCTGCCCTCTGGCAGTTTGAAGCCATTCCCCCTTGTCCTGGCACTCCAGGCCCTTGTCAATAGTCTCTCTCCATCTTTCCTGTTGGCTCCTTCAGGCACTGGAAGGCCACAATTGGGTCACACTGGAGCTTTCTCTTTTCCAGGCTGAGCAATCCCAACTCTCCCAGCCTTTCCTCCCAGCAGAGCTGCTCCAGCCCTCTGACCATCTTGGTGCCTCCTCTGGACTCTCTCCAGCAGCTCCATGTCCTCCCTGTGCTGTTCCCCAGGGCTGGAGGCAGCTCTGCAGGGGGGTCTCACCTGAGGGGCAGAGGGGCAGAATCCCCCCATCCCATGCTGGCCAAGCTGCTTTTCAAAATTCTCCTGGAAAAATGAACCAGGAGCACTGAGCTGGAGCTGAAATGCAGTGGCAGATCCGAGGTGCTGCTGTGCAGCTCTTGTGGCTGACTGGGAGTTTCCCAGGACAGCAGGAGCAGAAATCCATGTTTCCCATCGTAAATCCCTCAGTCAGCTCCCCGTCTCCACCTAGAACTGCCCGATCCACTGTGAATCACTGGCACCCAAACACACAGGGAATCTCTTGGCGCTGCTCGCGCTCATTGAATGGCTTTGATGTTTATTGCAGTTCCAGCTGCGTCCTGGTTATTACTGGGAGCTGTTTATATATCCAGGGCTCTCCGTGGAGGGAGCAGGGCCATGCTGGCAGCAGCACTTGCAGGGAATGTTTTCCAACAGCAGAGTCCCCCGGGATGTCTGTGTGGAGCCGCGACACGTGGCGCTGTTTGTCCGTGCCCGTCCTGCTGCTCAGCCCCACAATGGGACTTGGGTCCCTTCCTGCTCTGCACACATCCATCCCACTCCAAAGTAATCCAACCAGGATGCTGAGCACCCTCCCCTAAAGAAAACACCCCATTTAACAGGACTTTTGATTATTTGAGTTGGCAGGGAAGGCATAACATGCAGCAGTGGCCAGAAGTCAGAGCCAGAGCTGCTCTGCTTGGAAATGATGTGTGGATGTGTTTAGAGAAGCCAAGGCAGTTTATTCTGGAGCAAAATACCAGAAGGGGATCTCCATCCCTTCACAGCAAGGCTGGGCACTTCTCTGCAGCAAAGCTCAAACATGCAGAGTTTTGATGAACTCCAGGACCAGAGCACTGGGAAAAAAGTTCTTATTTACAACAAACCCAAGGTTTAGGTCTGCAAACTTCTCAAGTTCTCCAGTGTGTCCCTCAGCAGCAGGCTGAGCTGTGGTGGAAGAAAGCATTGAATATAATCCTCTACCTCCTGCCCCAGCACCAGGGATGTGCCAGGGATGTTGGAGCTGTCCCATGGCAGCACAAGGCAATGTCACCTCCCTTGCCCTCAGCTTCCTCCCATCCCTAGAGGCTCTGTTTAAGCTTTCAGAATTCTCCTCACCTGCGCCAGAAATGGTGGAATAAACAGCCAGATCATCACCTTTATTCCCCTCTTCCTTTGGCAAAGACTAAGTGCAGACAACAGCTCATTCTTCAGCGATTCTTGATGCTTTCATGTGCCACATACATGAAAAAGCACCTGTGATCATTTCAGTTCTCACAAGCAGCTCCTTCTCCCCACAGGAAAACAAGACAATGGCTCCTGCAAGGGAATTTTGGAGAAAGAGGAGCTGTTTGAGTCTGGCAGTGGCTGAAGGATATTGCCCCCCCATGATGATCTCAGCACGTTTATTTTTGTGCTGAATGTGTGGAGTATCTTAAGGCATTTGCAAATCAATGTCCAGAATCACAGACTTGTTTAGGTTGGAAAAGCCCTCTAGGATCCTCAAGTCCAACCATATCCCCAAAGTGACACATCTACCTTCCTCAAAAGAAGTATCTCTAACTCTTTAAGAAGGGCAAATGTGTGCCTAAAACCTGTTTCTCCATTATATTAGTGGATTTAGTATCTGTCCATAACCCTGTCCATTATTAGCGGGATGCTCATTTAACCTGCTCTTCAAAACCCCTAGAGAAGGCTATCCCACAAATTATCCAACACAATTCACTCCTAGAAACTCACTGCCCTTACGTGAAGGCAGTTTCCTATTGCCCAGCCTTCCTTTTCTTTACTTCCTTCTCTGGTCCTGTTCCTAATGGATTTAGAAAACCAATCAGTCCTTTCCTCTCTGTGAAATCAAAGATCTGATCATGTCTCCCCTTTCCTGGACTGACAAGGACAGTTTTGCCAGCCTGCTGCCCAGTAAGCTGGAAGACAAAAACACAGAAAAGATCTGAAAAGTCACGTCTGATTTTCACAGCCAAACCCCATCTGGAAATAAAACACATTTTATTATGTAGTCACCCTAGTTTACACACTGTTTTACTTCCTGTTTGGCTGAGATCATTGTCATAAAGCCTCAGACACAAAAACAATTATGGCTCCAAAGTAGTTACATGAGGAAAATGGGATCAATCAGGAGCTCACTGCACCCAGAGGGTCCTGAGGGGTGAGCTCTGAGCTCCTGGGAACCCCACACTGGGTGTGAGGGTCTCACTTCAGACACACAGCACTGCCAGGACACTCAGACAGGCTCTGCCAGACACCAACAGCATAAGGACCAAACACAAAATTCACCTCCATCACCTCTACAGCTCCCGGTATCAAATCATGGCATCCCACAATGGTTTGGGTTAGAAGGGACCTGAAAGATCATCCAGTTCCACCTCCTGCCATGGGCAGGGATACCTTCCACTAGCCCAGGTTGCTCCAAGCCCTGTCCAACCTGGCCTTGGACACTTCCAGGGATCCAGGGGCAGCCACAGCTTCTCTGGGCAACCTGGGCCAGGGCCTCATCACCCTCACAGGGAAAGAATTTCTTCCCAATGTCCAATCCAAACCTACTCTCAGTTTGAAGCCATTATGGGGTGTTGTAGGCAGTGGCTTCTCCAGCCACAGCTGGAGAAAGGTAGAGATCCGAGACAGGTCAGAACAACAGCATGTCAGGAGTTCCTGGTCCCCTCTTCGGTGACAAATAGGGCCTGGAGATGCTCTCTGTCCCAGGTGGCTCCTGAGTGATGTGCAGAAGCAGGTGAGATGCATCTCACCCCCGGGGAGGACACGTCCTGGCTGAAAACAGGCACATGAGCACTGCTCTGCCATGGCTGGTGCTGCCTTGCTCCCCATGCCACCCCCTGCAAGGGCACTGCTCCTCACAGACCCTGTGGCAGTGCAGCCACGTGGCATCAGGAGGGGACAGTGTGCTGGAAGGATTCAGCCTTCCCTGCTGTCCCTTTCTGTCCAAAACCTTTAACTCCCCTGGTGAGATGGATCACCGATGGGATCAGACTCAGCTGCTTTCTGTACCTGTATTGTCATTTCTTTCATTCATCTTAACCACAGAGAGCACCAGGGTCACCAGCAATAACCATTTTAAAATCCCAATTAGCTTCTGCCTTTCAACAGTAGACTCAAAGTCACCTTCCCAAAGTTAAACCACAGAATCACAGAACATTCTGAGTTGGAAGGGACCCACGAGGATCAGCTGGGTTTGATTTGAGCATTTAAAGTGCATTTTACATTTTCCAGGTCTTGTCCCCAAGTGTGAGAACTGGACATATCTTTTTCCCATTTTCAAGGGCAGCATTTGTAATTGGCATCTCATCTCATCTCATTGGGGGTTGGACTAGTTCACCTTTAAAGGTTCCTTCCAACCCAAACTGTTCTATTCTATGTTTCTATGGTCACAGGAGCTGGGGCTTAAAGAAAAACACCCGGGATGCTGAGAGCAGGCAACATGGGGCACTGGGGCAGGGATGCCTTGTCATGAACCCAAAAGAAAACCAACCAAACAAAAAACCCCAAACAAAACCACCTTTCAGTTGAGAAACTGAGGACTCAAGAACAACACCTGCAACCTTGCATGGACCTGCAAGACTACCCACTCCTTTGGGGAAGGCAGCACCAAGTCAGTCCCCAGGGCTGCAACCCCCTCCAGACATAGCCAAGGCTTCATCCAGCATCCAAAGGTACAAATATATGGGACAGAAGGATCAGAGGTAGGAGACAAGAAGGTGAACAGCCCCACTGGCTACTGGAAGCCTTTACAAACCTCGTCCATCCATGCCTTAAGGTCTTAAGGGAATAAAGCCTTTAAACATGTACTCCGGAGTACAAGTCACATACCCTTCTCTGCCAAGACTGAGCTGGAGGCAAACCAGGCAGGGAATGACCCCATGGATTTCTGTGGCCTTCCATGTTTCCCCTGTAACAGAGGCAGATGGCTCCCCGAAGGGTTCAGCTCCAGCTGGGGAGGAGGACACTCATCCTGGCTGGATAAACTCCAGTACTAATTTACTCAGAACCTGCACTCAGTGTTTGCTGCTTCTTCCTCGCAAATGCTTTTGGGAGAACTACCTATTCCAAAGTCATTCCCACGGAAGATCAGGAAAAGCCAAACCACGAAAGGAACAAGAACACCAGTGCAGTAGTGACAGTCACAGATTAGCACCACTAACACCCTTTACTCTTTCATTTCAGGTTCCACAGCCTCCACAAACTCCTCCATCGATGCTGTAACAGGTACCTGCCAGGTTGGGATGTGCTTTATGTGTCTGTTTGGATGTGGATGCACATGGAAATATGGGGATGCAAATGGAGAGCCCACAAATGGGGACCTGATTCCAAACTGCTGAGGCACCTTCTCCCAGGATCCTGCTCTGTGCACATCCACCACCACTCACCTCCAGATCTCCAGGAACATGGGGGCCACTGTGCCCCAGAGGGTGACCTGGTTTGGCCCCCTGTTTGTCTGGAAGAGAGCAAGGCTGTGTTCCAGAAAGCCTGGAGAAAGAGGGATCCTGCCTTGTCTTTGCTCCCTGTTTCCCTCAGCTGTTTCCCAGCACGTTATCCTCTAGGGATCCATGGATCCTCAGCCATGGTCCCTTTCCCTGCTGGTCCCCACAGCCACACCAGTGACAAACCCTCTCCACGGCATCTCTTGCCTCCCTCACCCTTTCAGCTCTTCTGGCCCCACCCTCCCTGTGGGATCACCAACATGGAGCACGTGTAGGACATGTCACCTCCATGTCCCTCTGCTTGTGTTACAGGTCCACCCCAGCCAACAACACGCAGCCCTGAAGTGAAGAACCACACCTCAGGTAACACCCAGCTGGAGACTCAGGGAACGGCTGGAGCTGTGTCAGGGCAGGCTCAGGTTGGATCTCAGCAAAAGGTTCTTCCCCCAGAGGCTGGTTGGGCACTGCCCAGGCTCCCCAGGGCAGTGGGCACAGCCCCAAGGCTGCCAGAGCTCCAGGAGGGTTTGGCTGATCCTCTGGGGGACAGGGGGTGACTCTTGGGGCTGGGCCTGTGCAGGGCCAGGAGTTGGACTGGATGATCCTTGTGGGTCCCTTCCAACTCAGCATATTCTGTGATTCTGTGAGCAGAGCAGCTCAGGGCATCCCAGTTTGTAACTGGTCTGACCCTCAGTCCAGCTGGGCCATCCAGCAGGAAATGGGGCTGTGCAGTGGCAGGTTAGATGAGGACAGTGGTGGGGAAGAAGGAAGTTTTATGGTGTAAGGGCTTCTGATCCAGCCAACTCACCCCAGAGGGATCAAGGCACAGGTGTGAGCAAGAAAAGGGGAAAAAATAATTAAATTGAATAGGGAGGATGAGATGGTTGTAGAGTAGAATCATAGAATGGTTTGGGTTGGAAAGGACCTTAAAGCTCATCTCATTCTACCCCATCCCATGGGCAGGGACACCTTCCACCGGACCAGGTTGCTCCAAGACCCGTCCAACCTGGCTGATCTTTAAGATCCCTTCCAACCCACCTTTCTGTGTTGCTGTGCCATGTACACAAAACCAATTACACGAGAAATTATCTCTGCAACTCCAGATCCACATCTGTTAGTCCACTTGGATCTTTGGAGACAGATCTGTTCCTAATATGTTTGGGGAAAAAAAAAAAATCCAAGTTACTCTTCCAAAAGGACCCCAAAAATATCCAAGGAAAAATATCTAAAAATATCTGATTATGCTTCCAAGCCTTGTAGGAAAAAAAAAAAAAAAAAAAAAAAAAAGAAACTTAGAAGCAGCTTAATCCTAAATTCTAATATTTTGATGAAGCATTTGGATAAATGGAAAAAAAAAACCACACTAACCTTAAAACCATTTTCACCCTTTTCTCATTTTATCAAAAAACCAAGAGAAGTCTAGACAAGGAACTTGCCTATGAATTCCCAGCTGGTGATCCTTGCAGAGGGATTATTGAAAGCTTTTTCCCCCACATCTTGCTCTGGACCATGCTCTTGCTGTGCAGCTTGGAGTAGCAGGTTGGGGCATATGATGGAGCCTCCAGACCACTTCAAGAGCTGAATTATTTATTCTTGGAAATTCTGAGTGAAATGAAACGTAAAAGTTGGCATTTCAGATAACACGCAAATGACCACGTGGGTGCCAGGCAGCTCCAGGCAGTTCAAGTGTCCAGTGACAAAAATGCCTTCATTTCTCAAAGCTGGGAAAAAAGCAGTGGCAAAAACCCGACTTTCTCCATGTGTTTGCTGAGCTCTGCCAGCTCAGCACCTCCTCAAAAAAAAAAGCAGAAGTTAATCCCAAAGTACAAGAGCTCCTTGACTCTCAGCAGCATGGAGGCTGTTTCCATGCCTGTGCTTTCCCTAGCAGATTATTCCTAACTCTCCAGGGCTCTTGAGGGCTCTTTGTAATAACTGTGCCCTCCTCCAAGCTGTTTCTGAGCGGGGCTCTTTGAGGTAACACTTCACTTCCCCTGCAGAGCCGGCGGTAAAACCAACAACACCCACCAGCCCCAGTCCCACCTCCGCGGGTCAAACTACTACAGCCACACCCTCCACCACCACCACCACTCCAACAACACTGCCAGCCTCGACTGGGCAAGGTAAGGATGGAAAACTCAACCTTTTGCTCATGCAGGACCTGTTTGTGCCTCCCTCCTTATCCAAGAAAGACTGGGGACATCAGAAACACTGGGCTAAGTCCACACCATGCTGATTATTCAATAATTCAGCCAATACTGAATTTCTTTGAGTCTTTGCTGAAAGAGCAGCTCAGTTCAGCTCCCTAAAAGCACATGGCTGGACATAGCCAGGACAAGGCTGTATCAGAAAAGCCAGGTCATGCTTTATCAAACAAAGCTTCCCAGAGGAGCTCCAGCCTCTCCAGACCTGTCCCAGCTCACCTCTCAGGTACACTCTGAACTGGCAGCATCCCTTGCTAGGTGGGCACCTTGACGTTTGTTTGGAGGAAAAGTCTCATGCAAGCAAAGGTTTTTACCCCCTGGACACCCAACAGCTCCCCATAGCAGAATTAGTAGCAGCTTCAAGAGTTAATTCTCCTTTTCCATGTTTTCTTTATCTAGATGATGAGTCTAGTGGAAACAGAAGCACAGCAGCTACTTCTCCAACACCTCAAGGTACTTTGTCCTTCTATAGAGTAACAATAACTTAGATAATGTCATGGCAATCAGCTTGCTTGGCTCTCATGGCACAGGTTATCTGAGCACTAGTCTTTTGGGGTTGAGCCACCATTTGCACCCAAAATCACATCTGGTATCCTTACAAGCAGTGATAAAACACAGGATCAAATGGTCTGCAGGGATGAACTTGAGCAGTCAAATGATGGATCTATGTGCAGGAAAAGGGAGCCCTTTTAACATCCTTTTAAATAAATATAACTTTGCTTTTGACAGTTTAACACAACCTGTAAGCACAAATTAAAGAATTTAGTAAAAGTTTTCTCAGGAATAAGGGCAGAATCCCAGAGGTTGGGAAGACTGGAATCTGACAACTGAGCTGATTTCCCATTAATGGTTCAGCCTCAAAAATCTGCAATGGTCAAGACAGAAACTGCTCTGCCTCTCCAAGTGCCTCTCAGATCTCTAACACAAGCAAGATTAGAAACCCATGGTCAGCTGTGCCCACCTAAGGCAGGAGCCCTTTGCCTCAGAGCATCTTGTTCCTCATCACAGCCCTGATTTATCTCTGAGAAGCTCCATACACCTTTGCTGTACGGCTGCTGATGCTTCCAAAAGCCAGATCTCCTGTTGTGTGAGACCCAGCATCTCCCAGGGATGGGGTGTCTGTGCCAGGCTCAGCAAACCACAACTTCTGCCCATGGCTAGAAGAACAATTTCAGAATAAAACAGAGAATGTGATGACCTGTGAAAAAACTGTACAGCAGGAGTCCCTGTTTCTCCAGACTGTTCTGCTCCACATGGCTTCTGACCCAGTTAGATTTGTTATTTCACGCCTTTTTCTCTTTTTCTTCTGGCTTTTGGCAAAATCAGATTCCAAAACAGTGATGTTTTGTGCGGGACAGGAACCCCAGGGCAGTACCAGGAGCTGTGCACACCCCTCCAGGCACCACACACTTTTGGCCAGTGCTGCTGCTGGGAAGGTGGGGATGGGAAAGGAGGGAATAAGATCCTACTTGACCTGCAGATGATCTTGTGAAACTCTGAAGTATCGTTTCTAGTCTCCTGACAAGGCCTGCAGCTGTTCCTTGAGGTCGATGCAGACACTTGGGCCATTCAACACTCAGCCTGGAGGCAGCAAAGGATGTTTTTTCTCTGTACAAGTGAAACACAAGGACTGCTTTAAATTTCCTTGCACAGGCACTGGAGCAGCTGTCACAAACCAAACAGCTTCCTACAAGCCAGTTTCTCCCACTCAGAACTGGAGTCCTTGCTCAGACAAACCTCTGTGCTGCCACAGCTAGACTGCATGTGGGATACAAGTTAGCCCAGCTCAAATGAGCTTAACTACTTCTAGATAACCCAGGACAGCACACCCACCCACTTCAAATCCAAAGACAAGCCAAACAGTCAATCCACACCCACACTCTGCAAAACTTCTTCCTCTAAGCGGATATTTTTCTTTTAAGTCTCAATGTTTATGAGCTGTAGAAAAATCTATAATCTTCCCAGTTCACTCTTCCAGCCTCCCATTGGTGTTTCTGCCAAAAACCTGCACCTGGGATTGCAGAACCTGCAGAGTTTATACAAGGGCACTTGAATTTTGGTTCCCTGGATTTCTATTTGGACGTGGGAAACAGTACAAAGTATGTTTGGTGGGAAGCTTTTAGCCTGAGCGTGAATTCCACGTTTGTCCAGGTATCACCAGCATTGCTGTGACTCCATTCTCCTCTCCAGGTGCCCATTGATTCCTTTGGTTATTAGATGACACTCAAGGACAAGACTCACATTCTGTGTTTCTCTCTGCAGGTCAAGAGCCCACGAGAAGGGAGAGAACCACGACAGCAGTGCTTCAAGGTGTTCCCTCCTCCCAGAGAGGTGATCCCTGCTATGGATTTTACAGCCCTTTGCTCAGCCAACAGCAAGGCCATCACACCTCTGTCTTCACGGCAGCAGGAGAACAGCCCACGAGTCCCTGAGGGGTGCTGGCCATCCCATCTAGCCCTTGAAATGCCTGTAAAGCTCTGCAGAAGCAGCATTTGGGGGCAGCCTGGGAACAGCAGGTGTGGGTCTCAGCAGGAAGGGTGCCATTATGGGAAAAGGCTGGAAAAGGAGGTAGAAAAGACAAACTCCACCCTCAATCACACTGCCAGGGCAGATCTTCACCTGCCACGCTCAGCTTCCTCCCTGGGGTCCCAGCAGGGCCCTGTGGGTGTTCTCAGCTTGTCCATAAAAGGTGCCTCACCAAGGCAATGGTTTCACACAGATCTTGGTCACTTTGCTGTTAACATTGATGGGCCTGGCCAGGATCCAACCTCAGTCTGTTCAATAAAGCACAGGTGTGAATTAATCCTCTAGCATTGCTGGGAATGCTCTTCCCAACCTTGGAAGGAGGACTTTGACGTAAAGTGCCTCTTTCCCCTCTGTAGGCCCCTCAGAGCCTGTCACCCCCACGCTGAACTCCTCTGAGCCCACCCCGACAGACGATGGATCACCACTGACAGTGGCAGCTTTCGGTACGTTCTTGTGCAGCCTGGGGAGAGCAGGGGGGGCTGTTTTGCCAGGACACATTGTTTTGGACACTCAGCTCCGTGAGGCCCTGGCACAGGTTGCCCAGAGAAGCTGTGGCTGCCCCTGGATCCCTGGAAGTGTCCAAGGCCAGGTTGGACAGGGCTTGGAGCAACTTGGGATAGGTTGTGATAGGGGGTGGGACTGGATGAGCTTCAAGATCCCTTCCAACCCAAACCATTCCATGATTCTAAGTCCTGGACCAGTCTTAGCAGGACAAGATTCCCATGCAAAGAATAGTTTGATTTATTGAGGCCTGGTGTCAGAATCCAATCTGCACTTGGCCAGAGCTTTATGAGACAGATGACGTCACCCACAGCCTTTAGCTTGTCTCTCCCCGGTGCTTTGCTTTTTGTCTCACTTTACACACCTTCAGGATAAGATTTCCCAACTGCAGTAGGAACATACTGACTCCTGTCAATCCCCACTGTAATCAGCTGACTTCTGCCCTCCTGGCACTGCCTTATCAATTAAGTATTCATCAATTAAGTATTCATCAGCTGCCCTTTGAAGTCAAAACACAAGAGGATAGTCATTCACTCTAGTGACTATTCACTTCTCTGCCGTGCTCACGTTAATGAAAATATTGATTTCCTACCCAAGTTTTGATGACAGTCGAAGTCTCTCTGCTACCCCAGGATCCAGGATGTTGTTCTGTCAGTCTCAGACAGTTCTTTGCTCCATCTCCAGGTGTCATCAGCTTCATTGTTATCCTGGTAGTGGTGGTGATCATCCTGGTCAGTGTGGTCAGCCTGAGGTTCAAGTGTAACCGCTCCAAGGAGGAAGGTATTTGCCCAAGGGGATCTGTCTTTCCCTAATCCACAGGTCACCACTTTCCATGTTGGATGTGGCAATTCCTAAAAGATGCATTTGAAAAGGTTTTGAAGCCAAACTGGAACACAGATGCAGCAGTCAGGAATGCAGTGTGACCTCCCCTCTAGAGCCCCAGCCCAGCCCCATCTGCACAAGGACAAGTCTCAAGTTTGCTGCAGCTCAGTGGGCAGATTCACAGACAAGGCAGCTCTTCCAGCAAAAGTCATGGAGTTTGACACTCCTTTTCCCTAGGAATCCCACTTTCCACTAAGCAGTGCCCACTAGAGGGCAAGGCTGCTCTACAATAAGACAGATACCTTCCTGAAGTCCAAAGGACACTGGTGACTGAACAGGCAGCAAGGCCATCAGGTCCTGCCTGTATGTCCCATTCATTGAAAGATTTTCCCTAGTCAGCTCTCAGGTTTCCCCCATGGTGTCTCTTATCTCATTCAGATTTCCCTTCTATCCCTGTACAACGTAATTCAGAATAGAGCTGACTTATTCTGTGGCTTAGCTATGATGTTTCTCACCTGTATGTCACCAACTCCAGTTTTTCTCCCTCCAGACAAACAGAAACCAGGAAGCTCCATGGTATCAGAGAGGTAAGGCTGCTCATGCTGTCTATGTCCAATTCAAAGTGCCTATTTTATTCCAGAGCTAAAGAATCTGCTTTAATTATATCAGGTGGAAGAAAGCATCTCAAAACATCTTTGAGACATCTCTGAGAGCTGATAGAGACAAAGGTAGATGGTCAATATTTTGGGGCCTCTTTTCAAAGCTGCCCTGAGATCTGCAAAGACTCATCACCTTCCCAAAGCAGTGTGCTTGTCTTTCTTTGCCTAGATACAGACTTGAGGTCTAAACTTGAGTCTCTGAATCTCAAAGTAGTCTCAGGTATCTTCCAAGATGCTTATTATTACTGTTAACCCAGAGAGAGTAGGATAAGGGGGCCCCAGTTTAGAGACCTTTGAAAGAGAAGCATCAAGTGGAGAATAGTCTGTCAGAACCCCATGGTCCATCACTGCTACCCCAGAAGAGAGGCTGAAGGTGGGAAAACAGCAGGAAACAAGAGCTGGACGGGACCACAACATGTTGCTCCCACTTTTCCATCTGATAGTTTCCTACCAAAGTAATAAACCCTGCTTTGGAAAGGGGCAAGGGACACAAAGCAAAGTATTTAGGTGCCAAATTTGCATCACCAGCAGTGGTTCCCAAATATCCTTAATGATCGTGATCCAAGTGATCTGAAGCAGAACATGCCAGAGCAACGGACAGAGCCCTGGGGCACCCTAATCCCCAAAGTCATCCAGTCTCCACTGGCACTAAATGTGTATCCCATTCCTCAGGGTAGGAAGAAAGGGGAATTCCACCTTCCTAAGGCTTGTAACTGACTCTTAAGAGAGACACTGACAATACATGAGCAGCAGCATCAGATGGAACAATATCCAGGGCTCCCTCTGCGTGACAAATGACCTTAAGGGCCTCGTATGAGAAGTAAATAACCTGGTTTTATTACAAGCAAATGAACTGAGTGGAAAGGTGAAAGGGGGGAGGGGCTTTTATTAACTGAAGAGGAGTTCCTTTTTCTTTTTTAATTAAAAAAGGCATGGCACGGAGTAGTAAAATGAATGGTTCTGTCTGAACCTGACACCAGGGAACTTTTGCTGCCGGGAATAGGGAAAAACACAAAAAGTAAAGATGTAACTAAACAAAGACCTTCTCTGCCATGCAGTAGCCTATTGTGTCCAGGGAGTAAGTCACAAGAAGGGTAACACCCCCTCCCTGGTCAGAGAAATAACCTTTTAAGGTAAAAACAGCGTTTAATAAACATGTAACAGCTTATGTAACCAAAAGAACTACAAAAGGTGTGGTTTTCAAACTGGTCCTGTGCTTCCAGACCCGAGTGGCTTTGGGACACAGCGTGCTGAAATTAAACCTTCCGTTACCTTCCTTTGTCTCGCAGGTTTTTGCCGTCTTTCCAAATTCGAAAAAGGGATTTTTCCCACACTAGGACAGGGCTCCCAGAAATGCTCTCTTTTGTTCCAGTTCTGGTGAGGGCTGCAGGGATGGCAGGAAATCCATTCACTGGGAACTGAAACCAAACTGCTCCCCGACTCTGCCTACAAGTAGTGACGCAGGGGACAGTGGTGCTTTCTGTAGGGCACACACAGCTTGTTTGCCCAGAGATCTGGGAATGTGGCACCAAGGATGAGCCTGAATCAGGACAGCAGCTCAACGGGCAATGGGAACCAATCCTGGTCCTGTGTACCAGGCTCAGCCTTGCCTGTTTGCCTCCAGCTGTGTGCAAACAAACTTTGTCCTTGGAGGTGTCCAAGGAGCGACTGGACATGGCACTCGGTGCTCTGGGCTGGCTGACAAGGTGGGGATCGGGCACAGGTTGGACTCAATGATCTTGGAGGTTTTTCCCAACCTAAATGACTCTGTGATTCTGTGATTTCCTCTCTCGTTCCCCAGAGCAGTTAATACCACCTTCTCTCCCTGACAGCTGCTCAGCAGACACGAGCCAGAAGGACAACAGCATCACTCTGATCTCCATGAAGAACATCAACATGAACAACAGCATGAGTTACCCACCATCAGAAAAGGTGTCCCTTTTCAGCCTTGCTTTTTAGGGCGTTAGCTGGGGATCATTTCTGTGGCTGGATAAGAGCATGCCTTTGAGGTATTCCTTTGCTCTCTTATTCCTTCAGAAATATAACAAAAAAACAGCTGCCATCAAACTCGTTAAGATTCAAACTGGTTCCAGTGAGCCCGGTGAAAAGTCTGGGTGCCCATCTCAGGTTTACCTGAGCTGCCTGAACTCGAGGTGTCAAATATACCTCCTGTATACAGGTGACATGGCCTAGGGCCAGCCAACAAAGCTGGAGTGGTTTGTCATTAAATGAAGAGGTCAGCAGCCTTTGAGAAATCAAGGTCTCACCCTCCAGCCCAAGTTCACCCACTCCAGCTCCACAGGTGGTTGAAGCACGTTCCCTTCAGTGCCCTCACATCCATCCCACATGAGGATTTCACATCATTTTCACTTGTTTTAAAGCTGGGATTGAGTTTGGGAGAACACAATGCTTTGAACTCCCTCTGCCAGCCCAAACAGGCTGCTGATGCACCATGTCTTGTTCTTTTGCCAGGTGCTATGAAGAGCCCAGAGAATGAAGCTGAGACATCACAACCAGCAGTGACTTTCTAGGTTCTTTTTCTTTTTTTTCCTTTGTGGAAAGAGCGAGGGTGGATTTTATATATAAATTATTTTGTCCTTTCTGATCAATACATATAGTGTCCTACATAGCTTCCCCACCTGGGGCCTAAGGGCTTTCTCCATGCTTTACAGCCTGCCATGCTCAGTGGTTGATATCTAACTCTATTTTTGAGATGCCTTCAAACACTCAGAATAAATCCAGCAGCAAGAAGCACCAAGGCACCACCTACTTCACTAAGGGCCTTTACAGTCTGTGCCAGGCAGTCACGGGCTCGTTAATCAGCGTAGCCCCACGTCAAGTCAAAGCTGCGTGTTAGGAAAGCCTGATCCGAAGACCTGAGGAGACTTAAATGGCCAAGTTCTAGGTCAAATCCCAGTATGATACTCCAAGCCCCTTATCCCTGGTGCCCTCATTGTCCCCACAGTGGTGGGGATGATCACACCCACCTGCTTCACAGGGTTGTTGTGAGGCTACATTAGTCCGTGTCTGTACAGCATTTGGAGAGCCATGAATTAAAGGTGCTGCTGAAATACAATTTGCTGTCTTAAAGACTTTATTATTAATACCTGAGCTTCAGGCAGGCAGATCACTGCCTTCCCACGTGCTTAAACACTCATCTGAAGTGTGAGGAATGAAGCCTCTGCATAAACAGGGGTTTAGCTGAGTGTAAAACCCAGTGGCCACATGCAAAATGCTGAGCTACTTGAGCTCCTGGAGTCTGGCAGCACAAGTGTGCTTGGGAGAGCTCCCATCGTCTCCACCACTGCTTTCCCAGAGCTTCCTGATAGACCAGAAGAGCAGCATCCTCATCCAGCCAGAACCCCCAGCTCAGCAGAGCCCCAGGAACCACCAGTGCACCCCCAAGGCTGCAGGGGTAAATACCCTTTTTCTGGAAGATTTCACTTTGAGGACATTAGAGCTTAATTAGATGTTTCGCTTAAGGAGACTTTCTGCCTAAGAAGAAACCCCTTTTTTCAAAGATAGTTGGATGTTTCTTTTCCTGCTGCATTCCAGAGAAAGCTACAGTCTTTCTCTCTGGTCTGAGGAGAAATAAACCCTCACAGTGTTACAGGCCTTTTCTTTGGGGAGGGCCTGGGGGAGGACAGAGAAGATAAGAGGCCTGGAAGGGAACAGGAGGCTTTCTCAGGCCCAGCACTTTTGCAGCTGCTGCAGGTTCTCTTTGGGAGTTTTTAGCATTCTCGACTTCAGAATAAACCTTTTGGATTCTTTCCACTGCCTTGGCATTTTTGGGGGTACCTGCATGTATCTTACCACACAAAGGCACCCCAAGGACAGCCCTTCATTGGGTTCCCCAGGGCAGTAGCTCCTGTTTGGAGCCTGCTGGTCACAGCCTGAGCTGGTTCAGCCCCAGCCATACTCATTCACCACCTTCAGCAAAATCCTCACAGGAGGAGAGTGGGGATGTCCACCCCCAGCATCCACGTGAGAGAAATGATGCCCCATTGGGTATTTCTGGAGGTCTCAGCTGCCTCATTCAGCAGAGTAAGGTACTGAAGCACTAACCCTGCACTACCTCTGCCCATCTTCACCGTGACTCCTGCTTGGAAGCTGCACCAGTTCCACCAGCACAGACCTTGGGAGAACCTTGTCTGTGCAGCAGCAGCACAGTGAGATACTGGCTCCCCTAACAGGAGCAACATCATCCATCAACCCTGAAGGTAAACTGTGACATTATGGAAAAAAGGACCTAGCCAAGCACTCAGAAGGGGTATTGCTGCACACATTCCCCTGCACAGTTCAGTGAAACATTGTAATTGAGCCTGATTTAATCTAATAGGATGGATAAGAGATGTTTGCTGGCATGTGCAGTGTGGGAGGTAGCTGTGCTTTGCAGCTGGCAAGGAAGTGTTCAGCAAAATACATGCAATGTTTTCACAACTCATGCTAAGAGCCAACACATTTTCTACCTTTAACATCTGCACCAGGGAGTTTGATAAGTTGTTTTTTAATAAGTACAGCTTTTCTGGTAACATTCATGAAAAGTAAAATGCCATCACTCACCCAGCCTCTGCCAGACTGGTGAATTTGCTTAAGCACAAAGTCCCAGGTGATTTCCAATTAGGTGAACCCAGAGCTCCAGATTCCAGAGACCTGTGACTCCACGCATGGAACACCACAAGCAGGTTTTTAGTGAGTATCAAGCTTTAACACATCTCTGCAGACCTCTGAGATCCCATGGGATCTCGCCACTGCTCAAGTTTTCCTTCCTTTGACCTCCTTCTTTCCACAGACCCTTGAGAATCTTACACAGAGGGTGAGGCCCTGGCACGGGTTGCCCAGAGAAGCTGTGGCTGCCCCTGGATCCCTGGAAGTGTCCAAGGCCAGGTTGGAAGGGACTTGGAGCATCCTGGGCTAGAGGAAGGTGTCTCTGGCAGGTGGGATGAGGGGAAACCAGCAGCAGTATTAGCAATGATAAAGGCAGCTGGGAAACGTCTTCCTTGCCGTGAGGGGCCTAGAACTGGACACAGCCCTGGAGGGGCCTCAGCAGGGCCAGCACAGGGACAGTCACTGCCCTGGCCCTGCTGCCACACCATGGCTGGCACAGCCCAGGGGCCACTGGCCTCTTGCCCCCCTGGGCTCCCCTGGGCTCATGTCCAGCCCCTGGCACCAGCACCCCCCCCAGGGCCTTCTCTGCTGTTGGAGAGTGTCCAAAGGAGGGACACGAGGATGGGGAAGGGTCTGGAGAGACCACACAAGAGCAGCTGAGGGCACTTGGTGTGTTCAGCTGGAGCAGAGGAGACTGAGGGGAGACCTCAGTGCAGTTCCAACTGCCTGGGCAGGGGCAGAGGAGGGGCAGGGACTGAGCTCTGCTCTGGGGGGACCAGGGACAGCAGCCAGGGAATGGCTGGAGCTGTGTCAGGGCAGGCTCAGGTTGGATCTCAGGCAAGGGTTCTTCCCCCAGAGGCTGGTTGGGCACTGCCCAGGCTCCCCAGGGCAGTGGGCACAGCCCCAAGGCTGCCAGAGCTCCAGGAGGGTTTGGCTGATCCTCTGGGGCACAGGGGGTGACTCTTGGGGCTGGGCCTGTGCAGGGCCAAGGATTGGACTGGATGGTCCTTGTGGGTCCCTTCCAGCTCAGGACATTCCATGATCCCATGACATCCCCAACGCTGCCATCCTGCTCTCAGCGCTGTCCCCGCCCGGCACACGCCGTGCCCGGTCCCACACAGGGTCCCCCCGCCCCGGGGCCGCTCTGACGTCATCCCCCGCTCCCCTCAGAGCCGCTCATTACGTCACCGCCGCGCCATGACGTCACGCCGCCATTCCCGGCGGGGCCGCTCCCGGCAGCCCCCGCGCACAAGATGGCGGCGCGGGGCGGCGGGCGGTGAGCGGGGGCGCGGCCCCGGGCAGACATGACCTACACGGCCGAGCAGCTGGACGGGGTGCGGCGGTGAGCGGGGCCGGGGGGCGGCGGGGAGCGGGGCCGGGGGAGCGGGCCCCGGGGAGCGGGCCCCGGGGAGCGGGCCCCGGGGATAACCGTGTGTCGGCCGCCAGGATCAAGCGGTGCCGGGACTACTACGAGATCCTGGGCGTGAGCAGGGACGCCGGCGAGGAGGAGCTGAAGCGCGCGTACCGCCGGCTCGCCCTCAAGTTCCACCCCGACAAGAACCGCGCGCCCGGGGCCACCGAGGCCTTCAAAGGTGAGGGGGCTCCGTGAGGGGCCCGGGGGGCTCCGTGGGGGGCCGAGCGGCCGCACCTGCAGAGGCCGCGGGTGCCGCGGACACACCGGCGGCCACACAGAACCCCCTGCGGCTCGGCAGGGTTTGCATTTTCCTCTGCAAAATACAGCATTTCTATCAGAAACAGAGGGAAATGTACCTCAGGTCTCATTGCGAGAACTTCTGAGGGATTTTGCAGTGGCACGAGGTGACAGGCCAAGGAGGAATGGGTTCACACTGACAGTGGGCTAGATGGGGTATTGGGAAGAAATTGTTCCCTGTGAGGGTGGGGAGGCCCTGGCACAGGTTGCCCAGAGAAGCTGCGGCTGCCCCTGGATCCCTGGAAGCGTCCAAGGCCAGGTTGGACAGGGCTTGGAGCAACCTGGGCTGGTGGAAGGTGTCCCTGCCCATGGCAGGGGGTGGATGAGATGATCTTTCAGGTCCTTTCCAACCCAAACCATTCCAGGATTCTGTGAAGGGTTCAAAACGAGGCTTGGAACTAAGACTGGGCATGCAGGAGAATGGGGTGTTGTGTAATCAAAAACTGCTCCTTGTCAATACATTTATACGATATCTATGCAAACCTATAAAATTTAATCCAATATGCTGTGTCTGGACTTCTCAGAAAAATTTCAGTTCTGTACTGACCCTGTTGCCATCTAAACTCTTACATCCTTTGCCCTTTCCATCCTGTGTTACAGCACAGCAGGAGGAAAGCAAGTGATTCATTCATAGTCTGTT